TAAATACAGAAATGGCACATATAACTGGGACTGCGCCTTTTAGTACGGTGCGCCTTATGTGTGAGTTAAATACAGAAATGGCACATATAACTGGGACTGCGCCTTTTAGTACGGTGCGCCTTATGGTCGTGAAAATACGGTAGAAATATATATGTATTCTGAGTTTGTCAACCCACAAAAATATATTCTTGGTGCCATTAGTCAGACAGCTAATTATGTATTTTCTTTAAAGATTTGTTTAACATTCTTTGGCGATTTAAGTATAGAAATTAATACCATAATTACATTATTTATGGTCCTGAATAAATATCTGCTTTCATTCGCACATACGCTGATGTACCAATCGTGCTTCTGGTACGAATCGGGTAGTGACACAGAATTTGGGAAAACCAAATTGAATTGTAACTTCATGATACATTCCCAAAAGTTGGAAGATATTTTACATGCATAGAAAAATATATTTATGAGATTTGTAATGTGTATTAAAGAACATGGAAAGTTTCCATTGAATGATCTTTAAATGTGTAAATTCTCACTATTTCATCGTATGAATCATTTCCTAATGTCCAAATCTGATATTTAACCAGTTTCTTTCCCAATTTTCCAGAGGAGGCTTGTTTAATTGGGTGCTTTACAGCAATCGGCTGTCCCACGGAACATCTTCAGTTATGCTCTAAGTGTTCTCCAGACACTCTGTAGGCCTGCCTATTTTTGTCATTTGGTTAAAGTCAGGTGAGCTTTGTTGCATCACTTTTTTTGTTTGTTTTTTTAATTATTTTTTGCAGTTGCCGTTTAATTGATATGAAAATAAATAGTTAACAATAGTTTCGGTCCAGATTTAAAGCGCTTAGATCTTTTTATTGCCTTTTGGATATCAAGGTAGTGTGGGTTTTAGTGCTTAGTTTTCCCCTCTTGTCAGGCACTTATCTCATCTGTAATGTTACTTAAATAGTTAATAGTGGGGAAAATTATATTCTACTCCAAGCAAAATTCTATATTATCACATCAAATTTGATTTGAATGTGTTTCTTGATATAATGATTATGATTTAAAAGGTGACAATTCATGTTTTAATCTAACAGCAATGGCTTGCTACCCCCTTCCCCTGCTTTTATTGATGGTAACAGTTTTATTTTTAAATTACATTTTAACAGCTTTCTACCAGTGAAATACAGAGTGTGTTAACAATTCCCCATAATTTCTCAATGAATTTCATAGTTGACTGCATGGTCTGCTTAGCTGAGCAGCATCACAAATTACTTGAACCTGTCTTGTTGCTACAAAAAGATTATTGTAACACTCTACTCACACCCACACACACACAGAAAAAAAAGAGCAAAACCCACAACAAACAAACACAATCACGGAAAAGCACCATAGGAGGGGTTTATAGTTTGAAGGTGGGTGTGTCCCACAGTGTTTAAAACAGACTATCTGTGCTCTGCTCTCACATCAGTCGTTTTTTCCTCCTCAAGCTGAACAACACCTCCATATAAACCGGTAAGAAAATCAATTCTTTTAAGTCTGAATTCAAATTGCATTTATAGTAGATTACAGGTTAGGCTTCATGTGAATTAATGTATATATTTTTGTTGAAAGCACATTAAACTTTGACTTTTAAGCTTAAGTTTTAGATGCTGATGAAACGGAGGGAAGCATGTAACTAAACAAACCTTACAAAAAGTATACCGACTATCATCTTTAAGATGCCTGATTTTGTTTTGCAAGAAAGTGTATTTAAAGAGGCTTACTAATGGTAGCCATTTCCTGGTTTGTTGTTCTGCCATTAGCTGATTAAAACCAGCAGTTGCAAGAGTGGTTTGACATGCAGATAGGAATCATTGCACACTAGCCAACGCCCATGTAGCCTAAACCTGCAAAATTTCTAATACTACAACAGCAAAAATTAAATGCCTTAATTGTGACTCAATCTTATCCCAGCCACCATGTCCACCATTCTGGGTGCAATTGGAATGCTGAAGCAAACTTTTGATAAGTATGCTGGAGCAGAAGGAGACAAGGGTTCTCTGTCGAAGAAGGAACTTGCCACCTTGCTGAAAGCTGAGGTTCCTGGATTAGTAAGTAGACTGATCTTATCACTTTAAAAGAATGTGCCATGAATTCCTAAAGATTTGTTGTTTTAAAAGGTGAATATTTGTCTTTATAGGCTGATAAAAAGGAAGAGGTGGATGAGTTTATGAAGGCGCTGGATGAAGATGGTGACGGTTCTGTTGATTTTAAAGAATACGTCGTTTTTGTCGCCACCTTGGCTATGATTTTGGGCTGTTAAAATAATTTCCAGTCTCTCTGCTTTTCTTGTCTCTCCCAAATTGGAAAACTGACGGCTCCAACACACATGTAAAGGCAAAAAAAAAATGAACATAAACTGTCACTAGTGTTGTGGAGGTTTGAGCAGGTTAAAGTGAATATGATGTGAAATGTCAATGTTGATTTTTAAACAAGGAAAATAAAACTTTTCACACTTAATGTCTTGACTGTGTTTTTAATCTGAGTGGAAACATCAACCCAGCATTTTACTGTTTTCCTTATCTGCCTAAAGCAGGGATACTCTTCAAATAACACAGCCTATCCATTCATAAAACAGGTTTTGTGTGGGTTGTCTTATCATGAAGTAAACCCTTT